TCGGAATGTATTACTCCATAGATGGAGCTGTTATATACAGCCACTAGAATGTAGCTGTCTAATGAAAGTTTCTTGGAAAAAAAATAAAACCCATCTGTACAGAATAGTAAATTCACAATTCTTGAATTCTGACCATCTGACAATCTGTCCATCTCACACTCACAGAACTGAAACACCCGAACAACTTTAACTGAAGATGCATTGTCTCGTAGAGAGTAGAGACTACACGGCGCCAGAAACTATTAAAAACCTATTTTATCATTATTCGATAAAGGAAGTTTTAGTACTTGTTCTAGATGGATAGTTGAAAATGAAACTAATTAGAATAGTAGTTACTTTAAATATATGCCGTGCTACTGTCCTGTGCAGTACATGTTAATTCGTATAACGAGAAAGATCTTAGGATATCTGAGAGGGGTAGTTATTTTGCCCAAATATTCCATCCCCGACGTGCAGCATGCGTGGATTGCACTAAAAACTGTGCCAAATGCACCAAGAGAATATCAGACGGCAAAGGAAATAATGTAGCTACTACCGAAGTTATGGATTGTAAAAATAATGGCATCAGTGTACGAAATGTTATCAACGCTACTTGGTTATACAAGGACAAGAGAAAAGAATTCGGTCCCAAATAATCGTTCACCGAGTGCGATAAAATGCGATGGAGACATCTTAGAAGGTGATTTCACAGTATCCAGTTTACCTTAAATCTCCCTATACGAGTTCATGACAGACAATTTGGAGGCATCTCCGACAGGGAAATTAGAACGACGAGTGGTGTGGTGGTACCAATGGTTTTTACAAAGACAAAAGCAGTTTATGTGAAATGGAACTTTCAATTGGTTATAAGAACTGTAATTCAAAGCTGTCAACCTGTACCGAGCAAGTCAGTGGAGCGCTGTAATGACTATGATTTGCAACCTAAAGTAGAGTGTTGTCCAGACGGTCAAGCAGCGTGAGAGTGCGAGGACTATCCGCTTATAGACGGCTGTCACGAGTGTACCTGTTGCACACCAAACAGCCAAGTGAACCATCAACCAGTGACATTCAGTCGGTGGAGTGCTTGCTGATGGGGGTACTTTTCACTATACCTGAAGAAGAGTGCTGTCCTGAAGGCTCAAGTAAAGTGCGAGGAGTGTCCGCTTCTGGATGATTGTGACGAGAGTATGTATCTGCTGCACAGCAAACAGTCAAATGAACCATCAACCTGTGACGAACAATCGGTGGAGTGCTCTGATGGTGACGTTTTGCTACTTAAAAAAGAATGCTGTCCTGAGGTCAAGGAAATTGCGAGAGGTATCCGCTTCTGGATGGTTGTGAAATATTCGTGCTGTAATACTGATGCCCCATCTCCCGACCCCACCCCAAAACCAACCAAGTCTCCAGAGTCAACATCTAAGTCTACGCATAGTGGTACACACAAGCCAGCACCATACGAACCGTACACCCAATCCTACCCCAAAACCCCATCAGCACCATCAGGCCGGTCTTCAAGCTGTGGCAAAGAATCGGTGGATTGCTCTATGTATTATGGCAGCGTTCTGAAACCGAATACGCGGTGCTGCTCTGACGGCCAGGGAAAGTGGGAGGGAATGCCTCTCCTAGACGACTGCGACGAGGATACGTGTTGTCATGCTGTTGAACCATCTTCGGATCCTCCCGAAAACCAACCAAGTCCCCAGGGTTAACACCTAAGCCAACGCCTGACAGCACACCCAAGCCAACACCCAACCGTACACCTAATCCTACCCCAAAACCCACATCAGCACCATCCGGTATGTACTGTGGGCAGAAGAAGTACTACAAATGTAAGTCGTATCACACCTTTTTGAAGTGCTGCGAGAATTCGAACAAGTGCGCTGGCTGGGGAAACTGCAAGTGTGAGTCGACCGAATGTTGCGACGAAACTCACGGTGGATCCAATCCTAACCCGCAGTATACGTACACCGGTGATGTAAGTACATGCTCAGCCAAGTACACCAACAACAAGTGCGAGGACCAGAAGTACATAGAGGGCAAGACGTGCCGTGTACAAGGCTCGCAGAAGTGTGGTCCTGACTACGAGAAGTGCTGGACAAGTCACTACTACGTGGAGGTGACGGGTGACTCGAACAGCAAGTGTAGCCGACGACGGAGAGAGGGCACCCAAATCGCGCGAAGCTGCGCTTAGATATTCATAACTTTAACTTAGCCCTATACACATGCCCTTAAAGGAAATAAATAAAATTCAGAACTATAAACGGACGTGAAACGAGACGGCGGGTTAAAGGAACTCACGAATGCGAGATGCAATATATGAAACGGGTCGGAACAATCGAATAAAAGTCATCATACAATATGCGAGGAGTACTGATTTGAACGTATGCATACACCCACGACCCACGAGGATACATAACAGTAGCCTGCGATGAAGCACTGATATGAACACATGCATATAAATATACACACACCCACAAGGATACATATCAGCAGCCTGCGATGAAGCACTGATATGAGCATATGCATTTAAATATACACTCACCCACAAGAACACATATCAGTAGCCTGCGACGAAGCACTGATATGAACACATGCATATAAATATACACACGTCCACAAGGATACATATCAGCAACCTGCGATGAAGCACTGATATGAGCATATGCATATAAATATACACACACCCACAAGAACACATATCAGTAGCCTGCGATGAAACACTGATTTGAACACATGTATATAAATATACACACACCCACAAGGATACATATCAGCAGCCTGCGATGAAGCACTGATATGAGCATATACATTTAAATATACACACATCCACAAGAACACATATCAGTAGCCTGCGATGAAGCACTGTCATGAAAGTATGCATATAAATATACACTCACTCACAAAAATACAAATTGGTAGCCTCAATCGCCAAGAGGAATATTTAAAACACAGTTAACACAGTTATATAGGATATTCGGGAGGAAATCCAAGCTTCTGTGTCATGTGTTATCTTTAAAAGTAATTGACCAAAAATTGTAGACACTGTAAAACCCTTGTATAGTTTTACCAATGTAAAACCGAGGTATCGAAAATAGTGTGGTTCTTATCAGTTACATATAGTACTGCATTTATTGAGAAGCTTATGACATGACGTCTAGAATCTCGTCCGAGGTGTGATTTATGGTAGTCAACCAATAGGGTGTATTAACAGTTGGGTTTTGGTCTCCTGTTGTGTGCACGTGTGGTTAAGAATTAATAAGCCCCAGAGCACTCACAAGGCCACAACCGCCATCGACGGTGTGCTCGATAGGTTACAGCGCAGGCAACAAGGGAACAGTTCTATACAACCCTGATACCATGGGTAGGGTTTGGAACGTTTTGACACACCGTCTCTCCACAACTGAACACAGAATAGACGCACGCCAGGTAGACGGCAGCACGAAGCGTTGCACATGCGCACACACAAGCGGTAGGTATCAAGGTATACGCGTTAAAATCAGCCCGGATGCCGAAGCATCATGATATCGGCCAAAATGTAGTGCCCACCTTTATTGAGCGTAGTCCAAGTGCAGGTTCAATAACTCAAGCCGACTAGAACAGCACCTAACAGGTCCAGAAGCAATCGGGGCGGAATGGTGGTTCATCAACGTACTGGGTGCTGGGGGAGCGGCAACAACTATATACTGCGAGACCGTCCAGTCAACTCTACTTAGCACTTCTAGACGCACATTAAATTTAAAAGTTGATGTGCAAGAGGGCTTCTCCTCCTCAAACACCCCTGGATGGATATGTAGTCCCGGTGTGCGGGGCTCTACCAGCTCGAAAGCACGGTACATTAGGTTGCCTACACTCAGTGTAAACAGCGTCTGAATGCCTCACAGAGACCTCTAGACCACAGTCGCACGAGTGTGCTTGTTGAATACACACCCGGCTCAGGGATACTGCGGTGCTCTTCCACGTACATACCTGATCCGTATATACAGCGATACAGCTCCCGGGCTCAGGCCGATTTCCACGCGCGTGCGGCGCTTCCTGCACGGCAAAATCTCGGCTGGGCCGCACCCACGGACAGCTATGACGGGTAGTGGGTGTACAACGGGGTTGTCAGGCAGAGACCATCACATCAATTGGCTTGGCACAGAGATGTCCCCTCCTCTACACACACAATTGAACCTCGTCGCACGCAGTAGGGTGGCACTGCTTCTACACCGGCGGCAGAGCCTGCCGTGTACATGAATAGACTGGGGTGTGTGTGTGTGGTACACGCGCAGTGGGGATGGCGGCAGCACTCATACGACTCATCAAGCGAGTGTGAGACCAAGCCTAATCTGGCTGCAGAGGTGTGTCTCCGTTGCGCCGCACGTGCACGTACAAGATATACAAGATAGGCAGTTCAATGAACTGGCATCTCGACAGTGTATCCCCCCATCTTTCACCTCTTCGAACCTTGAGCTGGTTGCAGGCGCGTGACTCAGCTGCGTAGTATGTGGTTGTAAACGGTACGCACTCCAATGCATGGGCTTCAAGAGAGTGTGCACGAACTGATCTTGTCCTCCACCTGAGTCCTGGTGACTCTCCTGTCCTGCTGCGTCTCTTTCTCAACCTGAGTAACCGTGGTACTAGCCTGGGCAACTGTACTACCAGCTTGAGCCGGTGTACTATAAACAGGTTCCTGTGTAACCAGGCTATTCATGTACTCTTTCTTCCTCCTCTTATTCTGGGCGCCGGGTGTAGCCCCCGCACCCACACCCACAGCCACAGTGGAGTGGACTTCGGCATTCTTCCGTTTTCCGCTCACACCAACAACACCAACAACTGTCTCGTTGTCTTGCTTAATTCCTGCGTGATCATACGGCCCACCCTCTAATAAGGGAACCGATGTACCATGATCCACACCCTCCAGCAGCGCCTGTTGTGGGCTATGCCTCCCGTCTGTGGTTCTACATGCCGGACACACCTCGGTGCGCTTGCCCCGGCATATGTAGCAAGTGTCCACTCCACTGGTAGAGGCGGCTATCTGCGCGTGAGATATATACACCGCCTGATATGCCTGCAGATACTCTCTGAAGACCTTCACAACCTGGCCATTCGCATACCTATTGCGCGCGGCAAGTTCGATAGCCGTGCCTACAAACTTGACAGGGCGCCGGTCTACCTCCGCCTCAGAGGGGATCGACATATGCGCTGGTGCGTTCGTATCCGCTCCGTTACTGAGAAGCAGCTCAACAATAGCAGCGTTCTGCTTAAGCACAGCCATGTGCAGTGGCGTAGGCCCCTCCTGCGTGTGGGTGTGTAGAGGGTACCGATAGGTTAAGTATGGGGGACGGTGCGGTGGTATGTAGGTAGTATAGGTGAGCGGGAGACGTTGCAGATAGATACACATGTGGACTTGTGCTGGTCGCGCCCGATGGAAAGTATCAAAAGCTTAATAGGAATATGGCAGGAGGTGGACAACGCCAGGCAGCAAACGCAGTGCATGTGTTCTGAAGAAGTACACGCCAGGATAAACCAGAATACAGATCATCGAGCCAGTGGTAACAGCCCACTCACATGAGAGTATGCAGAAACCATATATGCTCCTAGTAACTCCCACCCACACGGGAATAGCCTGAAACTCTGTATGCTCCAAGTAACATCCCACCCACATAAGAGTATGCAGAAACTCTATATGCTCCATTCCCACCCACATGGGAACAGCCTAAAACCCTGTATGCTCCAAGTAACATCCCACCCACATAAGAGTATGCAGAAACTCTATACGCTCCAATCCCACCCACACGGGAATAGCCTGAAACGTTATATGCTCCTAGTCACTTACCTTCATTTTGCGCACACTGATGTCGACCCCATAATCGATGAGCATCTCCACGACGGCTGCATTGTTCACATTTTTTATTGCGGTATGCAACGGTGCCGTTCCTGACTCCTGGAGAATCCACCGGGAAGAAACGGGCAAAGAAGTGGATACTAGTCAGCTGATATCAACATATACGAATAAAACAGAGATGATAGCCAAACCCCCGGGAAGAAACGAGCAAAGCGTATAATAATCAGCTGATATCAACATATACGAATAAAACAGAGACTTATGTAAGCACAAATGAACAGAATAAATAAGTATCAGCTTATAACCTCATTGAAATGAAAAAAGTACATAATAATCCACATGTATGAATATAAATGAACGAAATACATGATAACCAACTCACATCCTCATTCAACGAACAAAACACATAATAATCACATAAACACAAAATGAACGAAATAAATGATAATCAACCTAATAATCATGACCAAATCAGATCGCTTATACTTGTTCCGCAGAGTCCCCTACCTTGTCTACTATGTTGGGGTCTGCGCCACACTGCAGCAGCACACGCACGATTCTGATTCTGTCGCTCTCTTCGGGGCTGCGTTCGGCTTGGTCCTCTGGTTTCACTTCCAGTGCACCTTCGGCACTATTTATGGGCCCACCTTTGGCCTCGTTTTGCTCGCCACACAGCTTGATAGCCTCCTGTAGCACACTGTACATCGGAATTGACCATCTCTCGCAAGCATCGGCCTCATACGCAATCAGTAGCTGTACCATATCCAGATCACTTGTCTCAACAGCTAGTTGCAGTGGGGAAGTCATACCCTCCCAACGAACCTGAGCGCCTTGCTCAAGCAACACACGGGCGGCCGACACGTGACCCCCGGTGACGGCAAACCGTAGCGGGGAGTACTAGATTGGGACAAATAAGGCCAACTCAGAAAAAAGATTTTGGAGGACGTGTAGTAAGAAAACTATCACGTTTAACAGCCTCAACTGCAGAACAAAGGCTTCTGCGCAAATGGATAATACATAAATATATATATATATATATACCTATACCTATACATATATATATATATATATATATATATATATATATATATATATATATATATATATATATATATATATAT